ATGCCTGCCGCTGGGTTCACCAGGGCACGTCCTCTAAGCCCAGCATGTTCATGGCCTTCTTGGGAAGCTGTAAAGGAAGACAAACTATCCAAGCCTTTCCATGATCTGCTCTCTGAGCTGTTATCTGCATCCCAATGACCTGATGGTGCCAGAGACCCCAGTGCCCGTGGCATTACCTGTGATCTCGTGCTGCCTCAGCTCATTGTATCGGTAGGACTGCTCCAGGGGCTTGATGGAGGCGTGGTAGATCTTCCTCAGGCGCTGCAGTACTCCTGCAGGGGCGGAAGCATGCGGATGGGTGAAAGGCAAACCCCACTGCCCTGGTTGATCCCCTCCTAGGTAAGCTGCTGGGCATTCCCTGCAGATCTTGAGGGTGACTCAGCTGTGGATAAAGGGACTTGGCTCACAGTTGAAATCTTGGCCAAAGTGATCCCAGTCACACATTTTTATGCCCCTCCCCTGCTGATATTTCCTGCTGGGCACTGTCCCCATCTGCTGCCAGTCTGCACGTGCCAGTAGCTGATGGGAGGGAACATCTCTTGTTAATGCTGGTTAGCACTCAACACCTGTGATCCCCAAAAGCCCTCCACCACGGTGCCAGGGGTCCCAGCACAGCCCCATAGCTGCTCACTAGAAGAAAGGAGCTTTTTCCCCAGCAGCTTCTATCACTTTCTTTCCAGCCCAGACTGCCTGTGGGGCCCACAGAAGCAAACCTAATAAACCCAATAAATAAGGGGAATAAAAATCCCAACCCTTGATTACAAGTTGCCCCAGGCTTCTCTGGGCAAGGATGCAGCTGGCTTGGGCTGATTCACCATCCGCATCTTCCAGCCTCTCTACCCTCCTAATTCCTGTACGCCCTTGGGCCTGTCTTTAAAATACCTAAAATGTGTTAACCCAAAAGCAGTAAAAGGGCTGTTACTGAAGATCTGGTGTTGCTGGACCTACAAGGAGTAAGGTTAAAACCAAAGTGCTCTAGCGAAGGAAAAACCAATGCTCTTGGTGCAGCAGAAGGGTGGGGAGCCTGTCCTGTGGGGATCTCATGGGCTGAAGGAGCAGGGCACACATGGCTCCATGCCACCAAGGCCCCCCCTCACCTGAGAAGTCATCAGCAGGTTTGTCCTCGTTCAGCTTGAGGGTGTTCTCCAAGTGGGACCGGTCGCGCTTGGTCGGCTCGCTGGCATCTTCAACCTCTTCTGGAGGAAAAAGGCAAGGAGACCTGTTACTACCGGAGGGGGGAACGCACACAGGAGCTCACACAAGCTACTGCCAGCGAGAGGGCACGGGGAAGCACGCACACCCTCAGCCCATGGACCTGCCAGGTGCCTCTGCAGCCACCGTTGCCTTTGGCACGCCGCAAGGTTTCTCTTTTGCAAAGGCTCCTGGAGACTTGGTGGAGGCTGCCAGGGCTGCAGCTGCCAGGGGAAGCATCATGGGCAACTTGCTTGGCTCTGAGGAGGGGCCGGTGGGGGAGGCATGCCGTGTCTCCCCAGGGAATGTGAAGGACGTGCCTGGAAGGGGCTCCAGGGCTGGGGTGCAGCATGAGCACACGCGGCACCTGCGTTGGCCCCTGCCGGCCCCTGTGCTTCCCCCACAGCTGCAGCTCCTCCAGGGTAAACCTCGACTGCGGGTGCACCCCGCCCTGCCTCTCTGTCCACTCCCCTCAAAAATTATGCGTTGAGCCAAAGACATGAGGATGTGCAAGGCTGGGGCCAGTTCTTGAGAGACCGGCCAGCCTGAGCCCCCCCCGACTGCCTCGCCTTCGCCAGCAGGATCATTCCCTCACGCTTCTCCCACCTCTGCCCCCGGGATCAGGCTGCAGCCCTCTGCGTGGGGCCCTGGCTTGGGGTGGCCCTGGGGACCCCACGGCTCCAAGACAAACTCTGGGAGCATCAGGCAGCTGCCTCTGCCTGGGGTAGGCACCCCAGTGTCCCTGAGACAGGGGGGAGTGAGGTGTCTTTGCCCTGGAGGTGCTGGCACACCAAGGGCTCCATGCGGCTCCAAGTGCTTTTTGGTCTCGGGAGATGGGTTGGGCTTTGGTGGGGGCTTGGGGACAGGTCTGAGGACAGACGTGGGCTGGCTGGCTGGGCTGGGGATGCCTGGGCCAAGTGGGGCACCGCCAAGCCCTGGGACTCTGTTGAGTGTCTACCAAGTGTTGGGCTGAGGAAGACCTTTTGACTTGCCAAGTAAAGCCACAGAGACCAAACTGGGTTTCCCTTTCGGCACAAATGGGAACTTTTTGAGCTGGGACATTACAGATGAAAGCAGAAAAAGACTCAGCTGGGTCCAAAGGTTGCTGCCCAACCTATGGGCCAAAGTCCACAAGCGTTTCTAGGAAATCGTGGTGGGGGGTGTCCCTTTTCCTTAGCTAGCTTTTCACTGACCCAACGCGGCCAGAGCTGGTGCTTCGGCAACTCATTGGTCCAAATTAGCTCTTCACACCTTCCCTACGAGGCAAGGGCTGGTGGACAAGAGACCCACCAGCCCGGACAGCGTCCTGCCTGTGCACCGAGAGAGGTCGGGGTCTGGAGGACTCTGAGGGTGGAGGATAAAGAGCCTTTAAGAGGTCTGCGGGTGCTGAAAGGGGCCTGGGTGTTAAAAATCTTATCCACGTCCATAGCCCAGAGGAGAAATCATGGGCTTCAAGTGCAGCGAGGGAAATGTCTGCCAGCTTTGGTATCGCTGAGACAAGTGCCTGCCTCGCACCCTCAATGCCTGCGGCCAGCCCAGCTGCGCAGCGGTTAGGGGCAGGCGTGCGAAGCACAAGCATTAGGAGAGGGCCATGCACTAGGCGCGGTTTAATGTGCCAAGCTCAGCTCCACCGGGGGTTGATAGTAGGTCACTCTTGCTGCTACAGCACACCGACAAGAAAAGACTCCAACCTATCTGGCCGTGCCGGGGCTTGGCGGCAGCAGGGTGGGCGCTGTGGCCAGGTGGGCTCTCGGTTTCTGCCAGTGATGGCTTGTCTGCAGGGGGGTCTTCTGCTGCTGGTGGGTCTTCCACCGCTGCCGGGGAATCTTC